TGTGCATCCTCCCGGTCAGGTCAGGTCGGGGACAGAGCCGGGCCCCCGGACCTGCCCAGGCGTCCCCGGCCCCGCACCCACTGGGGGAAGGACAGCGTAGGACTCGGCCTCGGCCCTGACCCTCACCGCTCGTCCCCACGCTGACGAGGCTGTGTCCCTCAGACGAGACCGCTCGCAGCGACCCTCCCCAGAGCGGGCCGTGACAGTGGAGCCTGTGCATCAGACGTGACCAGTCGACTGCCCCTCACCCACGAGGGAAGGGCAGCCGAGCACCCAACCTCGGACCTGAGCAACCACCACGCGTCTCCTCACCCTGGGAGGCTGTCCCTTCAGGGCACGTGTCCCCCACACCAGGTCCCGCTCCACAAGCTCCCTCCCCTTGGGGGCTGTGCCCGCAGTGCCTCTTCTCCTGTGCATGCCGGGACAGCAGGGCACGTGCCCAGATGTGACCGCACCTCGTTCTGGGCTCGGTGGCCCTCTCGGTCCCTGACTACTCAACTGGACTACAGGGCCTAGATCGTGACCAACCCTTCCACCCATGTTCTCTCTCTCGGGAGCAGGTTTGCTGCTCTGTTCAAGTAACTTCTTGCCAACCCTCTTCCCAGAAATGTGTAATTCTGCACATTCATTAGCCTTATGATGAAGTGACAAGTTTACTGTAAAATTGTCCTGTCCTGTGTATTTTGGGTGGGGAGAGGCAATTAGGTTTATTTATTAATTTGGAGTAAAAGTAGATTTATTCAGAGAGATACATGCTCCATAGACAGAGTGCAGGCCATCTCGGACGGCAAGAGAAACAGCCAGCTTTACTTATTCATGTGTTTATTTTTTTAACAGCAGTGCTGGGGACTAAACGCAGGGCTCGTGCGTGCTAAGCATGCGCTCTACCCCTGAGCCATACCCTCCCCGTCTGTGTACTAATCTTAGAACACGAGACACAAGTTTGTTTGTGTGCCAATGCCCCTTCACTTCTTCCTCACCCCCTCCTTCTCTTGTCCAGTTTTTGTATCTCGAGGCGGAACACTCATGTGTCTGAGCGTCTGCTGAACCCCGGGGGCTCTCTAAGTCACTCTGGCACCCACGTCCACGTCACCCTCACCCCAGCTGTGAGGCCCACGCTGCACGCATCCTTTCTGGGGGCAGGAGACTCCCTGATGCCGTGGCACTGTTCTCTCGCTGCTGAACCGACACGCTGCCAAGCTGTCTCTAAGGATGCTTGTAAATCCACAACAGGCTTAAACCCACCAGGAAGGGCTGGGCCCGTGCAGGAAGTTCTTCCTTGTATCTAGCCCTGGTCCCTCCTGCTGCACCTGTAAGCCATTCCCTCGATTACTGGTTCAGAAAGGTTTAGGAGCCTCTCGTCACCACGCCTTTCTTTTTGACGGTTCTTGGGGGCAGTGTGTCACAGGTGCTCACTGGCCACAGCCTTGGGGCAGAAGCTCCCAGACGGGCACAGTCTGAGCAACGGCCAGCTGTGCACTGCGGCTCAGACATCGGGTCTCTAAACGTGAGGGGTGGGGCTTCTCCACGAGGACTCCCCGTCCCTGTCCTGACGGCATGTGTCCACCATAGTGGAGGGCGTGGCTGAGGGGGTCTGGGGGGCAGGCCTGGTGCTTTGAGAGGAGCAGAGGCCAGGAAAGACTCGGAAGCAAGGCCCCAAGTCAGGCAGGTGAGGTCCCACAGGGCCCAGAGGGTGGCTGGGGCACGGGCAGGACCGGAACGGGGAGAAGAGTCCACGCTGCTCTGGGACTGAGTCTGGCAGGAGGCCGAGGCCAGGGCGAGGGCACCCACCCCAGGCTTGGGCTCTGGCTTTGCCGGAGTTCGCCTTGACCACAGACAAAAATCTTCCCGTCCCCTCCAGGATCTGCAGATGGTGGAGGCCAGCACCACAGCCCGCTGCCCCCGAGCCACCCCTGCAGGCACCAGGGCGGCAGCACCAGGAGGCCAAGAAGACCAAAGTAAAGACGGCGGCAGCCGAGCCAGCACACGGGCAGGGGGAGGCTGGAGACGCTGATCTCAGAGCCAGAGTCTCCCACCCAGAAGCTGGATTTCAGAGACGGGGGCTCTTGTAGCAACGCTTCGGGGGCCGCCTGCGCCAGGCGCAGCCTCCTGCAGCCCTTTACACCAGACCTGGTGGCTCCCTCACCAACCGCCTTCAGAAGAGGGCCATCCGGAGTATCAGAGCTCTTCCCAGGGACCTCACGGGGAGCCTCAGGCCTTTTTTGAATCATTCCTGATCGTGGGCGCTCCCCCAGGGTCACCGCAGGCCACGGCTTCTGCGCTGGGACAGCTCTCCGTGGGCTGGAACACCAGGCTGTCACCCTCCAGGTCAGGCTCAGGCTGAGGGAGCCACTGGGGACACCTGTGAGTGGGGTAGTTGCCCCAGCGTCCGGGGAGGGGCCGACCCCTCCTGCGTCACCGCACACCACGCGCACCCACGTCTGAAACGGAACAGACCCCAGCAGTGAGGCTGGGGCAGGGCTGGGGCACACGAGCGCAGGCTGACCGGTCCGGTGCCTCCGGCCGGCCGTCTCTTGGGTTTTCTCGTCACCTGAGGAGAAGGTGAGCTGACTTTGCAATTCTCACACTTCTCCTTCTCCGTCCCCTTCTTGTTTCTCACCCTGTCGATGCTCACGTGGATCGTGTGGTCGGCGTCTCCCCGCTGCCTCTCACAGGAGCAGCTGACATCTCCTGGCCCAAGACATAGTTGCTTCTATCTTTCTCTGCTGCAAAGCTGGTTGTGAAAGCAGAAATAGTTGTCTTCGGCACAGGACATAACTCAATTTAAATAACTCAAATTAACTCAATAACTCAAATTAAAACGTGGAGACTGGGCCAGGCTGTGGTCAGTCCTGTGGAAACTGCAGCCTTTGTTCAGGGGCCTAGGGGCCCTGAAGGTGGGGAAAGATGGCCAGCTGGGGTCCACCTGCTTGGAGAAGCTTGGGGACTGGAAGGCGGGGGGCATGAGCGTCACAGTAGGGGGAGGGAACATCGCTGGGGCAGAGCTGGTCCGTTCACAGGTCCCTCACAGCAGGTGCCCTCCGGTCAAGGAGATCGCTGGAGGGCAGTGGACCTCGGGCTCTGGAGTCCCAGATTTGGCTTCTGTTCCCAGCTCTTCCACTTACACAGCTGTGTGCCTGTGGCTGGTTGGCTAACGTCTCTGAGCTTCTGCTACTCTCTGAATGAGGAGCAAACACGTAGCTATTTCAGAGAGCGTATGTAAAAGTGTAGGCTGCTAATGTGAGAACTGGTTTTGGGGTTTTATTCTCAACTGAGGTGAAACTGACACAAGATAAAATCAACCCTTCCCAGCGAACGCTTCAGTGGCATTTAGTACATTCGCGATGTTGGGCAACCACCACCTCTACCTGGTTCCAAAACATGTCGTCACCCCAGAAGGGGGCCTGGTCCATTCTGCAGCTGCTCCCAGTCCTTCTCACCCCCAGGGGGGGGAGGTCTCTGTCTCAGCTCCTGGTCCTGTGGGCCAAGACCCCTGCCCTGCTTGCTGAGCCTGAGTCCTGGCACTCACTGAACAGCCTTGCTGCTTCGTTCCAACTCCCAAGAAGGCTTCTGCAGTGTGAGATTCTGGCTCCCGGGCACCTGAACACTTACTTAATTCAAATAAACCTTCAGCAACACCCCCAGGGGCTGAGCCTGGGTAACTCACAGGGAAACTCTTTACAATTTACAACAGGCTTTATCCTGGCAAAGGGTCTGAGAAGTATGGCTGCAATTAAACATTTAAAACTTTATTTCCTGTATCCCACTCTTATTTGACCAGGGAATCCTTTCATCTCATCCAGAGGACGCCCAGAACCCCCTCTGCTGGCTGCCATTTCAGGGGGTACTCTGGGAAGCGTTGACCTAGAGCAAACATTAACCAGGCGCCTCTGAATGCGGGTCCGCGGGTCCGCGGGTCCTCGGGTCCGCAGCGTAAGTGGTTTCGTTTCATCTGCATGATGCACCACTTCTTCATAATCAGCAAAATCTCAGCTGGGGGAAATTACGTTTAAAAAGGTTTTTTTTAAGTGGAGGTATAATTTACATATAAG